GATATCGCTTATTTATTTGCTAAATATAAAATATCTAAAGAAACAGATTAGATAAAGCAATGGATATACTTTTTAGATATGTCACTTACAATTAGAATTGATATTTTGTTCGGGAATTACCTCAGAAAATTTTTATCAATATATATATATATATATATATATAATTATAATTATATATACAATAATTATATATACAATATACACACACACACATATATATATATATATATATGTATATAGAGTGGTTCTTTGTGACTCATAATAAAAAATTTTTTCGAATTTTTTTTACGGTACTCCTCGAAACACGATTCTAATTCAAGAAAAAAATCTGTAAAACTGCAATCCAATCAAATAAAAGGAAAACGTGCCCCCAGGCCTCTACATTTTATGGTAAAGCAAAAAAATCGATTTTCGTGAATATCTTTTAAATTGAATATATCTAAAAAAAGTTTCAAACAAAAGTTGTAGATATGAATGAGAAGCATTTTATTCATTTTTTTCGTATAACAAATGGTTTCGAAAAAAAGGAAATAGAATAAAAATTATTAATGATCTTCTTAATTGACTTGAACATTTTTAAGAAAGGCTTAAAAAAAAATATATATATATTCTTAATTTTTAACTTTAATGAGTTATTTTGGAAAATTTTTTAAGTATATTTCTAAAAAAATTTTAGAAATTGTTGATAAGTTCGGAAGGTACGTTTTTCTTTTATCGGCTGCAATTTTATACAGATTGTTTTTCTTGAATTGGAACCGTTTTGAGAGATATCGCAAAACAAATTGAAAGTCGAAAATAAAAGCTACTTTAATGTATATTGATTATCGAAAATTACTCCAAACAAAACTAATAGTTTGTATTATTCAAATTTAATAACGTATTAATGCGGAAAATACAGTGAGGTGGAGAGAGAGAGAGAGAGAGAGAGAGAGAGAGAGAGAGAAATATATCGCGTTAAAAAAAAAATAGAATGACATTTTTATTGCGTACATCTGCATCCGCACTCGCACATAAACATAGCTATAATCTTTTTCACGAGATTTACAACATAGGGCCAGAATTTTTTTTTTAGGAATCTTTATACATAATAAAATCTGAAAAATCTTTTTTGAATTATGATAATTTTATATTACAAAAATAAAATTACGTATATAATAATTAATATAATAATGAAATTCAATAAGATAAAGAGAAAGGTCGACTAAAATCATTGAAAAAGTTAAAAGAAATAAAAAAAACCTTAATGTATTCATTCTTTAATTGTAAAAGTTTTAACTGTAATCATTTATCTCTCATACTATTTTTGTATATAAACCATTACCATTCTTCTCTTCTTTTTTTAAATATTTAAAGGTCAATGAGAAAACCCTTATACCGTATTACGACGCCCATGCAGTCATATACATACCGCACTCACGATTGCCTCGTAGATTTCTGATACGCACGCGTACGCATAAACGCGTCATTGCGCTGCCATGGACCGAGTCGACAGGGTGGTCAGAGAGAGAGAGAGAGAGAGAAAGAGAGAGAGGGGGGGGAGAAGGTGATGAGGAAGTGGACAGAGACGAGATTGGGTTGCGGGACGGGGTTGCTGTGGCGAGAGTGGCGGAGGCACATGGAGGGTTAATGCATCAACATCAAAGTGGCTTGCCGGTACAATTATTGCACTCAACGCACTGGTCGCTACCGCTCGGCGTGCGGTGATGCACACTCACATGGATCGCGCAGATAAAACGTCACACACGTCCACTACAGTGGTGCCATGAGAATACAGACCGTATGCACCTGGTTCAGCGAGAGACAGATATAGAGAAAAAGAGGAAAAGAGTGAGTGAGTGAGTGAGTGAGAGAGAGAGAGAGAGAGAGAGAGAGAGAGAGAGAGAGAGCCGTATATTACATTCTTCCACATTTAACTGGACGGACATTAATTTGAAAAAGTAGGCGCCTGTCGCGCCGTACCGCGCCACGCCGTGCGCCGCGGTTTAGAATCTCATATTCGCGGATGCGGGCATGCGGACTTTACGCGAACGTTCAGCCGCAACTTATGCGCTTTTGACGCACGCGATTTTCCTTTTTCCCTTGCCCATTTTTCCATCCGCTTCCCTCTACTCGCTGTGGCAGTATTGCGTCGCGTTGCGTTGCGTTTTTGTATCATTTCACTGCACTCGAATGCGTTACCGAGGGATTTAAGATTTCTGCGCGCATTGTTCCTCCGCGAGAATCCGCATTCGCGAGACTTAAGCCGAGCCAACGGTATTAACGGCAAAACCACAGCAAATTCTGGCTGGAACTGTATGTGAGAGCAAACTTGTGCGATTACACGAATATAAATATAAATATATACCTCGAAGGTATTTTTAAATATTTTATTATTTGAAATAATTAATTACATTTCAAGAGTACGCGCACGCGCGAATCTGCATTTAAGTTCTGCATTATTGCAGAAATTTAAGATTTCCACTTTATTCGCGCTTTTGAATTTACGCGTTGACGCGTTATGTGGTCAGAGAAATTATATTTAACATTTTACTCACAAATCCACATAAGCTAACGAATTATATACAGGGTGTTCCGGAAATAATAATACAATTGAAATAGAGATGAAAATTTTTTGTATAGACATATTCAACAAACTTTCAATCAATAAAATAAATACAAACATTATTGAAATTTATTGTATTATTTTAAAATTATTTACCAAATCCAGATTGATATAGAAAAATCGATGAGTTGTCAGATTGGATGACTCAAGCAGATTATAGCTGGTCAAATTCATGCATATTTAATGAATATTCAACCACGATTTTTTTCGAACAGAACGAAAAAATTTTATTCTACATTTTAAACTTACTTTCATATGAGGAATTATCTCTTTCTCGGTTGTATAACGTTTTCTAGAATACTCTGTTCCAGAATATGCAAACGTTGCAAGTATAAATAAAAGAGGAACAAAGAATATTCTATATATATCTAACATATCCCAACTAGCTTATTTAATAAAAGTAAAATATGTTAATTGTGGTTAGTTAATATTTGTCTTTATATGCAAAAAATGTGAACTACTTTTATTTTATAAGTAATAATTTAATAATTTTGTATAGCATCTATCCATCTGTATTTATTAATTTGATTATTGACTTGTACTTCCATAGATACTAGAATTTTTAAGAATTGTCAATATTGCTAAAAATTATTATAGTATAAAGGTGGTATAAATAAGGTGAAATAATATAAATTGTTAAATTAACTCATATCACTAAACCACAATAACATCTAAGAGAAAGCTGAGAAAATAAATAATGCATGGATTAATATGCATGTGTTGAGTTATAGATCTAAATGCGCATGAGTCTAATTATGTAATAATTAATCAATTTCGAAATTACTTTAAAATTCGCGCGCGCTCGTTCCAAAATATGAATTAAAGTAGTCGTACGATATTTGTTTTTTAATATACTCGTGATTAATTGTTGCATAATTAGACTCGCACATTTACGTCTGTAACATATACATAATTTCCCATTTATTATCTCAGCTATTTATATTACTTTATGCTATAATAATCAGCTATTCTTGATAATATTGACGACTTTCTAATACTACGAAAGTGCAAATCAATACTCGAATTATCAATAAATATATGTAGATGACTAGACTATACAAGATAAAATAATATTATAGACTATCAAAATAAAATTAGTATATAGATATATAAAAATAAGTATTATAACTAATACATTAGCATATTTCACTTTTAAATAAGTTAGTTGGAATATGTTATATGTGAAATATTCTTCGTTCAACTTTCATTTAGACTTGTAACATTCGCATATTAAAAGTCTCTGAAAATTATTTTTCTCTCTTGTATGTACAACTTTATATAATATTTAATCCTGGAAACAGAGGTCGCGCATACAAACTCAATTAAAGAAATATTTGAAAAAAGGAAGTAATAGAAAATAAGATAATACTATACAAAATATTACGAATCTCTTTCCTTGTCATGTATTTTATATACTAATTTATTTTTATATTTACAAATATACGATATACACGATATATCATTTTATAATGAAAAAAATGTGATATTATATATCGTACACATCACATTTTTTTCATCATTTTATGCGCATTGCGGAAAGAAATTTAAAATTTCATCTTCTAGAAATGTCAATATACTTAACTAATTATTATTTTATTTCATTATTACTTATTCTTAGTCTTTCGGGGTACTTTCTATTATTTATCTTAAACTTTAATTTGATTAATTAAATTATAATATTTTTAATTACTAATATTACTATTTTTAATTATTTAATTTCCAATTCTTGAAAATCTCAGTATTGGTGTTCAATAAAAAATATTATAACTAGATTCAAAGACAATTCTTCTTCTTTCAAATACATATTCTATTCTTATTTATCGAGGTTACTTAAATTATAAAAATTTCCTATCACTTTTTGATTTATTTTTACGATTTTATCCTATAAATTTCAAACAACTGATATTGTATAATTGTACTTTGACATATATTATAACACCAAAATGTCATAAGTCACAGGTTTTGCATCAAATACTGAATTCTATAATCCTTGAGCGTGTGTGAACGTATTCTTGAATACACATAAATTAGTGTGTAATTAAACACATTTCCAGGATTAAATATATCATTAATCTGTGTTAAACTCATCTATTTTAAAATAGTAGATCTATGAAATGTTACATAATATCTTTGATGTATTATGGAAGAGGTTTCCCACCTTTAAGTAAACTTTCAGCTCACTGTCTTACTCTCTTACTTTTTTATACTCTTTTGTTTATCCAATAGATAAATTATATAGTTTATCCGAAGATGGAACAATCGGCCTTATATGTGTAATGTTCTCATATAATGTCCTTTAATATATAATTAAATATATGTTTTATTAATTGTATACTTGATACAATTTTTTTCGTTAATCTATTCCTTCCAATTAAAATAAAAAGAATTTTGCACTCACCAATGCACAGCAGTGGAGCTAATATAACCAGATTGATCTGTAAAATACAAATTCAATGTACGAATTCAAATTATAGCAACGAAATAATTTAATTTTCTAAAAATATTTTATGCATGTATTAAATCTTTTATACGTTTTTTTCTTTAAATAAATATCTAAGTATTAAATCTTTTATACGATTTATCTTTAAATAAATATCTAAAGTAGTTCTTGCAGAAAAGAATATTTTTAAGTATAATGTTTAAAAAATTTAATCAATATGATAATCTAATTTCCATGATAATATTATTATATTAGGTGTTGGAATTAATTCGTAGCGTTTTACAACTGATGGGAAGTACTTTCATTAATGTATTTTTTAATGCTCATGTGAAATAAATAACATTCTTTCATTAAAAAACGCTACGAATTAATTCCAACACCTAATAAATACTTTATATTGGTAGTTACTTTATATTGATTGTACAGTCTTGACCAAAAATATTAGAATTAAAATATACACCTACATTTTTTTTATTTATCTGCATTTCGTTTACCTACATTATTTCCTATTAGTTATACATAAGTTTAGAAGGTTGTTGAAACAAAGAATAATTCATAGCAAATATCATAAATCACTATTTTTTAGCTAAATTTTTTGAATTAAATAATAAAGTGTTTAATACTTTTAACCAAGACTTGTATTGCAATGAGAGATGCAAAATAGTGTAGATACGAATATGCTACGGAAATAAATGTTTCACTTCGCAAATAACGAATAATAATCAAATGATAAATTACTCTTTGGTTGCTTTACCGTCGCATGATATGTCCTCGGGCTTCCTCCTCTCTCGTTTTTCCATTCTATCTTCATGGCACTCGCACACTCACTCGCGAAAACAACGGTTAATTACGATCGCGCGCGCTTTAATTATTAAAGTATGATAATCACTTTTCGCGATATTATAATACAATACAACTGTAAAGTCAAACTGTCGTGATTAATTAAGATGCGATTCGTCCGAAAATATATGATCGAAGTTCAGACGCATGAATCACCTGAAAAAGAAAATACGTATCTTTTAATAATCTTCCTTTTCTATTTTAAATGAATAAGTTGTTCGAAATATAAATATTATTTACTTTAAATATTATTTACTTAGTAACTATCACCGTAATGTCTATTGATTAGACATCGTTACGCTTACGAGTCGTAAATGTCGCGGAAATTAATTAGTTGATTCGAGCCGATAATTATTAGCCATAACAATTGCATCTTGAAGAATAATGCGATGATACACGAAGCGGTTCGCGCAGCTGCTTGTCTTCTCGAGCCTCGATATGCAAATGATAGCGCATTAATCTTGCAGAGACAACAGCGCGTGGATCCAATCCCTACTAGAAATTTATTCAAGGATTTTAACAGGTCTTAATCAGGTTGACCTTATTTCGTAGGTCCTGAAAAGATAAGTTCATCGAGACCTGATCAGTCATGTAACGCAGCACAGTAATTGGATCCTCATCAGGATAGTCTCATCAGGTACGGACTTTATCGAGTCCTGATGAGGAACTCGTCCATCTCGTGATGTGGTTGTGTATTAGAAACGAGGTCAACCATACTCAAACTTAACGAGAACCTTTTTATATAATATATATAGGTATACTTATATATATAAGTATTATCTTAGGTCAATCAAACCAGATCTTTATAACATACATCTTTACAAAAATCAACCATACTCAAACCTGACAAGGATTTTTTTATATATATATATAGGTGTACCTTATTCAGGATTATCTTAGGACAACCAAACCAGATCCTTATAACATACAACCTTACAAAGGTCAACCATACTTAAACCTGAGAACCTTATTTAGGATTACCTTACGTCAATCAAATTAGATCCTAATAACATATAAGGTTAACCTGACGAATTCTAGTCGAGATGACGTCATAATAACGAATACCACGAAACATTTAATACGAAATTATGAAATAAATACAGGAACTTAATCACACGAGAAATAGTCATTAACTAAATACTCATTACAGAATAAGTTTAGTATCTCACAGCACTTGTCGTTACTATGTTTGGAAGGTATAATATACACGAAGCAGTTTATGCATTTACCCGCAAGTTTATCGCGTTGTCATTAAGTATTTAAAATGTTCTGGAATGGATATAAAGGTCCGTATTCTGTAACACTTAACAATAATGTTGATATTGTTATATTGTCGTTGCGCGGCTTTTTTACTAGGTATATTCGTGCGTTGCACAATATACGACACCATAATTAAGAGTTACAGAATAGAGGTGAGAAGAGAGACTTAATCAATTGTGCAAGTTAAAATTCGTTAATCATTGGCATATAATAAGTTTATTGTCTCATGATATTTCGCATCGAGTCTGAAAATAATACACACGTAATGGCATATAGTTGCATGCTCGAGAGATTTGTCACGAAAAAGATAATATATGGTCTTTTGTACATACCTAGTGCGCGCAGATATACGTACCAAAATCGCATATTTTATTGTTAATACATTGATACGAAATATTTAATGCATTAGAAAAATATATATGTATAATATATTGTATATTCTATTTTTCGGATCAATTTTGATGAATGAACTATATTGTGCGATAAATTTAATATATTATATTGTGCAATAAATTTAATACATTTAATTTAATAATAAAATTAACTTTGTTTTTTTTAGACAATGGCTATTACATATGCTATATCTTTAAAAAAAAAAACAAAAGCGACGAGCAATACTGTGTGTCAGTACAGAATTTGTGTTGTTATTGCTGAATATAACGCTACAAAATAAAAACCGAATACCATTCCTTGTGTTAGTTAATTTTGAGATTGCATATTGAAATTCTAAATTAATTTATTTATTTATTTGAGGAATATAATTTATCTTTGTTTTATACAAAAACATTATTATGTAAATTAATCTATTATTTTTAAAAAATTTTTTCATTCCGCGGAGGATAAAATTGTATGATTTTAATAAATCAGAAAAATAAAATTAAATCGTTGCGAATATTGCTATAACTTTTTATTTGGCTTATTAAAAGTATACAACTGTTTCATTTCTATTAAATATACGATAAAATTTTAAAAATAGGATAATAAATTAATCTAAACTAAAAATGAACTGTAGCTTTTAAATTTAGAGATTTAATTTTATATTTAATAATTCTTTGTAATTATAACAAGATAATAATTAATAAATTATTTATATTTTTATAATAAAAATTAAATAATCTACATAATGTCTGTTTATATAAATTAATTTTGAGCTGCGAAAATAAGTAATAGATTAGTTACGCGAATAAATGCAATTCATTTCGAAGATATAATCTTCTATACTGTCCAATTTTATATACAGTTTAACTTGAAGATTATTTTCACATAAAGATTTTCTATTTCAATTAATAAATATTTTTTTAAATATACTTTTATGAGACATATATTACATCAAAAATATCATATTTCAAAATCATCAATGCGTAAAAATTCACCTACAAAATGTAATCCATTATAAATTAGTTTAATTTTTCCAGAATAATTATCTCAATTTTTATATTGATTTATTTGAACTTACACATCATTTGTTTACTATTAAACGAAAATATCGTTTTTTCCCTGTGAAGTACGATTCAATTAATCGCGAGATTTAAGCGCGCAAACGATCACCATGACGAACGTGGTAAATCATAAAAGTCCGCCGGTTATTCGTGAATTTTAACTCGTTTTCATCAGCTATGTACGTTACATCAATGCTTTACCATTCACCTTTCTCCCGTTTTTCCTTTCATTTTTTACACGATATTCCTCGCTGTCGATCGTCGGAACTCGTCGGGACGTCAAGAGGACGCTCGTCATTCTCGAAAAGTAATTTAGAAAATGTTAAAGCGTGAAAATTGCATGTTTTACCACCCCCTCACGTTCTTCCCCTTTTCGACTTTGTGTTTCACGGGGCGCATGTTTGCCGCTTCGCGCGGACGCGTGTAACGTTTGCACGCGTATCCCCGCGTCGGACACGCGTGCTAAAAGTGCCGGGCGTGACACGGCTGCGGGATGAGCATGGGACGCGAGCGTACAGAAGTATGGACCGTGCGGTGGGATATGCGGTATGGCCGTGCGAGGAGATAAAAGCGGATAACGTATATTCAGAGGGATCACCGCGACGGCGGATACCGGTGCCGATGAATAATACCGGATGTATTCCTCGATATAGCGTCGCCATTTTCGATGCAGCGGCGACTCGCCGTTGTGTGACGATTAGAATGGAAAAAGAGAGCCTAACGTGAAATACGTCTATAACTTTATAGAGTGTGAATAAATCTTTCTATAGAATCTTTTGCATTTTGAGTAAATTTGACTGTAGTACGATCTTTTCACTTTTAATTTCAGTGTAATAATTTTTTGCAATAAATTATTTACTTCTCTCTAAGACGTTTATCAACATCAAAATTATTACTTGTATGCCTATCAATTTAATCTAATTTGTGACATTACTACCTCAGTTTTAGTTTAGGATTTCATTTCGAGACCGAAAATTATTTCGGTACGTAGTACACAGAACTAATTATGTACATAAATTCACACATTGAAATATATATAATTTAACTACTAAAATCCAGCTGAAGCCAGAAGACTTTCTCGTTACTTAATTAGTTAATTAGTATACTCACATGCGATTTAATGTTATTTATTGATATTAACTCTTTGAGTTTCTAGTTTTATTTCTCAAAATACAATCTTAATTGATTCATTGATTCAATATCAATTTCTTCCAAATATTAAGCATCTTATTTCAAATTTTAAGCATAGCGTAATAAATTTTATGGTATAAGAATTATCATGTCTGTGATAATTTCGATATTGATAACTTCAAATTTGATAAAATGCACGATGATGTGAGACATTGTTATTTAATTTCTCAATTCGCAACTGGCAATTTTCGCAAGTCCTCGAAGAGCATTGAGGTTTCCGAGGGAAATGCTGGCTGCGTTCACGATCGGAAAAGCCTAGCCACGCGTGTTATACGCGAGTAGGTTTCCACCAGTGGTCACAGGAACGAGCTCCATCCCGCTCGTCTCGCTCGTTTAACCCAGGCAAGCGCTCGGTGTCCTCGCTAATAGGATTACCCGGATTCGCGAAGTTTCCTCCCGGAAACGGAATGACCGCGGTGGATGTAAACGCCGACGAAATTTGCGGCGGATTTCTGCTGCCGCGCCTGCTCATCGCTGAAGATATTTCAATTCATAAAGGCGACACTGTATATCAGATGTCCGTTTAACGAATATAACGATTAATTCTATTCGTCCACAGGATATCTCACAATTTTGTCAGCACCCTCAATCCTAATTTTGATGACAGATTCGTCGAGTGATTTTTAAAATCAATTTTTTTCGAATTCAAAGTTTGTAGTACAGATATTAAGATTGCCAAGGTACATCAATGCCAAGAAAGACGAGAATATTCATCAGGATATATACGTAATATCATAATCTAATTGTAAGTATGACTTTGTCAGGAGTTGTTCAGAGAATTTTGTTGGAATTGTTACAGTCGACCTTCCTACGAAAAGTGAAGGTGGAATGTAATTCCTACTTCGACCTTCGCGGATTTCGGCGGCGGGATGCGAAGGAGCTGATGCCTAAACTATCCGACACAGGTTCGTAACTGGTAACATTCGTCGGTACCCACTGTCTCTGTAATGTGACCACTTACGAACGTGCAGCCGGCAGCTATGCAGTTTAATACTTGCGAGTGTTTCTTGCAGCAGCAGCAGCATACCGCGCATACTGCGCTCCTTTCCCTTCCCAGTTTCTCTCTTTCTCTGTGGGGGTTATTCCATTTCGCTAGAATAAACCGACGAAGGGTGGAATTTTCTTGCGGTAACCGCGAATCGACTTACACGCTGTTAGAGTAAGAATATGGTTTAGCTGCGCATAAAAGAGAGAGAAACAATGTTTAATTCGCTTTCTTGCAAACGCGTCCTGATTCACTGGGATGCGTGGAATTATTGTGACTTT